GGCTGGATTCGAACCCGCCACCTTAGGTGTATGTGGCTGGCGCCTTAGCCGTTTGAGCCATAGGCGCCGAGCCCTTAAGTTACTTTCTTTGCCTGACTTCATGGAGTTTTACTCTACTCATGCATGTGTTAGTATTTTGCAAAGAATGAAGGGGAACCTGTGCATATTTCTAGAGGTTTTTTTTTTTTTTGGAGGCATTCACACTGTGTTGCCTTTGGTAGAATGCTGTGAACATCACAGCTCAAAACAACTTCCAACTCTTGGGCTCAATTGATTCTCTTGCCTCAGCCTCCTAAGTAGCTGGGACTACAGGCACCTGCCACAGTGCCTGGCTATTTTTTAAGGTGAGGTCTCACTCTGGCTCAGACTGGTCTTGAACTATGAGCTCAAGCAGTCCACTCACCTTGGCCTTCCAGAGTGAGCCACTATGCATGGCCTAGTGTTCTTTTTCTGTTTAGCTCTTTCATCTCTAGACCTCCTGCTCTGCCCGAGGTCTCCCTGCTTCACATGCTCTGGTCTGGTATGTGCCTTCTGGCAGGAAGCAGACTGACTGGAGGGCTCACTTTATTTGTTTGCCTTCCCTCACAGATCACAGTCTTGTGTGAACTCTTGTCTAATATCTAAAAATAGTTGTTTCATATATTTTGCCCAATTTCCTGGTTATTTAAGGCTAGACGGTAAATTTGGTTCTTATCATTTTATCATGGCTAGAAGAGAAAGACAACTGTATATTCTAGAAGTTAATCCTATTGAAATGTTTTCCTTTTTTTTTTTGGAGACAGAGCCTCAAGCTGTCACCCTGGGTAGAGTATTGTGGCATCACAGCTCACAGCAACCTCCAACTCCTAGGCTCAAGTGAGTCTCCTGCCTCAGCCTCCCAAGTAGCTGGGACCACAGGCGTCCACCACAGTGCCTGGCTATTTTTTGGTTGCAGCCGTCATTGTTATTTGGCGGGCCTGGACTGGATTTGAATTCGCCACCTTAGGTATATGTAGGTGGCACCTTAGCCATTTGAGCCACAGGCGCCACGCCATGTTTTTCTTTTTTGAGATAGAGTCAGCACCTGGTAGAGTGCTATGTCATCATAGCTCATAGCAACCTCAAATTCTATGGCTCAAGCAATTCCCTTGCCTCAGCCTCCCAAGTAGCTGGGACTACAGGTGCCCTCCACAACTGTGCCTGGCTAAATTTTAGAGACAGAGTCTTGCTCTTGCTCAGGGTAGTCTCAAACTTCTAAACTGAGGCAATCAACCTGCCTCGGCCTCCCAGAGTGCTGGGATTACAGGCAAAAATGGTTTTATTTCCTTCCTGGCCCTGTCTTCCACATGTTATGATGGAGACTCCAGCTTCAAGTCTGTCTATTCAGTAGGGGCAAGTAATGATGCTAAATAACCTCAGAACATTCCTGAGTGATCACTGGGAGACTGGTGAGTGGATTGATTGAAAGTCATTTTGCCAAATGCATCGCACAGAAGTCCCTGGCTGTAGCCCTGTTGGGGTCCATTCCTACAGAAGGCAATTCTACAAAGACTTATTGATTAATTAAAATATAATGAGCAAAACTTAACAGAATTTCTATTGTTGCTACACTGTCTTTGTTGGCAAAGCAGCAGTAAACATTGAGTCTTCAGCGATTCCTTGGTTAAGGAATGTTCTGGGGGTCTGAGACAGATACAGAAGGCACAATTTTCTCTCCAAGGATTTATGATTGTGACAAATTTATAAACTCTTTTCTTTCTGCAGCTCAGTAAACGCTCTGCCAATGACTTGTGTGGCCGGAATGATGGAAATCTTAAGGTGATCTTCCCTGACTCAGAGATGGAGGATGTCACTAACCCTGGACTCAGGATCAGAGCCCAGCCTGGGGACTACGTGCTGGTAAAGGTAAAGTGTCCTTTTGGGCTTTTGGCTTGTACCGCAAAATAAGTATTGATTTGGATAATTTGGGAAAAATTTCTTTTAGTGAAATAAAAATCTCTTCTCAACCTATAATGGAAGGGCACTTTTTTTTTTTTCTTTTTTTGAGACAGAGCTGAAAGCTATTCCCGTGGGTAGAGTGCTGTGGCATCACAGCTCACAGCAACCTCCAACTCCTGGGCTTAAGTGAGTCTCCTGCCTCAGCCTCCCAAGTAGCTGGGACCACAGGCGCCTGCCACAATGCCTGACTATTTTTTGGTTGCAGCCGTCATTGTTGTTTGGCGGGCCCGAGCTGGATTTGAACCCGACACCTTGGGTGTATATGGTTGGCGCGCCTTGGCCACTTGAGCCACAGGCACCAGCCCATTTTCTCTTTCTTCTGGTTCTCTTGTCCACTTTATCCCTGAACCAGCAATAGGCAGGTTATAGACTAATGAGGTAGGGAGGAGCAAAGGTAACTCCTTTAGCACCCAACTCTGGAACATCCACAGAAGGGAGAGACAAAGAGTGTGATTCTTTTTTTTTTCCCCCTAAGGCAAGCATGGAACAAAGTTTATTGAGGAAGAGAAAGGTAGGTTTACAGAGTAAGACAAGATACAGCCTTACAGAGCAAGATATGTTTGCCATAGACAGTGAAAGGGCCTCCATTGCCAAGGCAAGTAGAAAAAGAGGCCCAGAGAATGTGATTCTTTTCCTTCTGACTTTAATCAGTGTTATGTTCTTCTCCCCATTTCAGAGTGTCTCACCTCTACTCTGCTCTGTCCTCTGTCCTTGTTCTTATTTGTCACCTCCCTCTTAAATCATGAGAGGCGTGACTCATGGCTTGCAGCTAAGGGAAGCTCATTCACCTGGCATGTAACTTCTGTGGACTGGCCGGGAAATATTACCCGCTCAAAACATTTCTGTTCCTATGAGAACTATCTTTCCATATTCTGTCCATCTGACAAAAACTTAGAACAACACAACTAGTTTTCTGGCTCAGGGCTTTATGATCCCACTCCATTCTGTTCTTGCTTCAGTATTACCTAGGAATAGCCTAAGATGAGTAATTCCTACTAGTTAGCAATGTGATTGATCTGGAAACAATCCCTTATAGGCATCTCCATTTGCTTATTTTTGCTTTAATTGTAAGTGACTTGTCTTGTTTTCTTCCTTTCTCAGACTCCTAAGTAGCTGGTACTATAGGCGTGCACCCCCACACCTGGCTAGTTCTTCTGTTTTTAGTAGAGACAGGATCTCGCTCTTAATGAGACTGGTCTTGAAGTCCTGAGCTCAAGTGATTCTCCCACCTTGGCTTCCCAGAGGGCTGGGATTATAGGTGTGAGCCACTGTGCCTGGCTTGTTTTTGACTTCTTAAATTATATGCATTGCCATTCCAGCAGGCATCTCTTTCTTCTGGGATTGGGAACCTATAGGAACTGTGTCGTCTCTGGTGGTCATCACCTCCATTAGATTCCTTTTGGTGGCTTATTCTCTAGGTGCTCTACATTGAGTCCCTGTGGTACAGTCCTGGTTACCATGCTTTCTTCTGACTGGTTTTGTTTTTTTTCTGACTGGTTTTCTTTCAGATCAGTTCTGCCAACTCTCAGACACTCAAAGGACATGCTATCTGCAGGACGACTCTGAAGGACTTCTCGGCATATTCCTGACCTGAGGGGATGGCCCAGAGTTGACTTGAACACTCCTTCCCAACCTGAAAGGAGCTATTACTGGTCACTAATGAAAGAGGTAATGAAGCTGTGAGGCAAACTGCAGATGGTGATGCATCCCTTTGCTGCTACATAAACAGCTTTTCTGTGTATAATCATTAAAAGTACTTAAAGTGGCCTCTTGGTCTCATTTTATTTTTTATTTTATTTTATTTATTTATTTTTTGAGACAGAGCCTCAAGCTGTTACCCTGGGTAGAGTGCTGTGGCATCACGCTCACAGTAACCTCCAACTCCTGGGCTTAAGTGAGTCTCCTGCCTCCGCCTCCCAAGTAGCTGGGACCACAGGTGCCTGCCACAACACCTGGCTATTTTTTGGTTGCAGCCATCATTGTTGTTTGGTGGGCCCAGGCTGGATTCGAACCTGCTAGCTTAGGTGTATGTGGCTGGCGCCTTAGCTGCTTGAGCCACAGGCCTCATTTTCGTTTTTACCTTGGTTAGTGTTTCTGAGGTTTTCTCGGTGGTCTTTGAGTTAACTATTTCCCCACTCAGTTCCTGTTGTGGACACTGCTACCTTTTTGCTTTTCTCCCCTGGATCCTAGGAGTTAAGGAGGGGAAAGTAAGGAGAGCCATTTGTTGGGGGGGGGGAACTGCTCTGCATCTTTCTGACATTTTCTTTTCTTTTCTTTTCTTTTTTTTTTGGAGACAGAGTCTCAAGTAGTCGCCCTTGGTAGAGTTCTGTGGCATCACAACTCACAGCAACCTACAACTCTTGGGCTTAAATGATTCTCTTACGTTAGCCTCCCAGTAGCTGGGACTACAGATGCCCACCACAATGCCTGGCTATTTTTTGGTTGTAGTTGTCACTGTTGTTTGGCAGGCCTGGGCTGGATTTGAATCCACCAGCCCCAGTGTATGTGGCTGGCGTTCTAGTCGCTTGAGCTACAGGCGCCGAGCCATCTTTCTGACATTTTCATTTGATGCCATTAACTCAGCTGCCTATTGCCTCACTTTATTCTGTGTATTTTACCTGAGGATTTCCTTCATGGGCCAATTTTTTTTTTTTTCCTGGCACAAGTTGACTTTTAATTTATTCTAAGCCAGTAAAGCAAAAACCATGATGAAACACTCTGCTTTCCTTTATATCCTTTGCACTATGACCTCAAATCAATAATTTGCCTCCTACTTAAAGGACTAAAGAAAGGGCGAATTAAACCCAAAACAAGCAGATGGAGGGAAACAATAATTAGAGTGAGATAACTCACCACCTTGGGACCAGCCTGTACCCGACCTGTTTTAAAAGAATGGTATTAGAGGGTAGCGCCTGTGGCTCAAAGGAGTAGGGTGCTGGCCCCATATGCCAGAGGTGGCGGGTTTCAAGCCCAGCCCTGGCCAAAAACTACAAAAAAAAAAAAAGAATGGTATTTAGAAACCAACATCTGGCTCAGCATCTGTAGCACAGTGGTTACAGTGCCAGCCACGTACTCTGAGGCTGGTGGGTTCTAACCCAGTCTGGGCCAGCTAAACAACAATGACAACTGCAACAAAAAGAAAAATAGCCAGGCATTATGGTGAACACCTGTAGTCCTAGCTATTCAGGAGGCTGAGGCAAGAGAATTGCTTAAGCCCAAGAGTTAGAGGTTGCTGTGAGCTGTGATGCAACAGTACTCTACTGAGAGCAACATAGTGAGACTCTGTCTCAAAAAAAAAGAAAGAAACTAACATCTGTGTACATTTCATACTTGTTGCTACTGTAGGTTGGAAGATTTTTTTTGCAGTTTTTGGCCAAGGCTGGGTTTGAACCCGCCACCTCTGGCATATGGGGCCAGCGCCCTACCCCTTTGAGCCACAGGCACTGCCCAGATTTTTTGTTTTTTAAATACAGATAAAATTAATATAATAAAATTAACAGTTAAAAAATTAATGAATAAATTATCAGTTAATTTTACTATATGAATTTTATCTGTATTTAAAAAACAAAAAAATCTTTTAACCCACAGTAGGTTCCTCCTAATTGTTCTGAAGGGAACAATTCATTAGCATTTAGTACTTTCCCAGTGTTGTATAACCACTGCCTCCATGGTTATCCATTGAGCAATTACTCACCAGTAGCCATTCCCTATACTCCCGGAGACCAGCATTCTATATTCAGTTTCTGTGGATTTTCCTTTTCTGAATTTTTTATATGAACTGAATCATACAATATATGATGTTTTGTGTTTGGCTTCTTTCATTTCGCATAATGTTTTCAGGATTCATCCACATTATAGCGTTTATCAGTACTTCATATGATTCTCTGGTGAATAACATTTCTTCGTATATACTAATAAACACTACATTTGTTTGCCTCTTTAGGCAAGAGTGTCCTCATTTATATCCAATGGTCTATACCTTCAGCAGCAAGGAGGGTGAGCCTGGGCTCCTAAGGGGCCAGTAGAGCAGTGGAGAGGAGCAGGTGGAAAGAAGACTCAGTGCTCATGAAACAGGATCTGGAATCCAGGAGAAGGATGATGGCTCAATGGGGCTTGTGAGGGACAAGCCTAGTGGTTAAGGAGCCACTTCCCCTACACCAAATCCTAAAATATGTGACCAGGAACCATTCTGTCCAATTCTGTATTTCAGATGGTAAAGCGAAACAACATTCAAGGCCACAAACAAAGCTACCCTCTGAGGAAAGACAACAGATAAGCTAAGGGCACATGCTAAATGACCAGCCCAAATACAGTGACAACATAGAGACTCATCCCCGGATACCCTGATATGCACAGGTTGCAATAGAAGTCACATGCATTGTTGTGTACATGCATAAAAGTGGGGTGAGTCCAAGGACTGAGTTGTTTACACCTTTTGGCTATTGTGAATAGTCAGTGCCTGTGACTATTCACTGTGACCTATGAATAGTTAGGCCAGTACCTTTCACAGTCAGCCCCACTGCAGTAAGTAGTACTGTCCACCCAGCTGGATTCTACCTTCTCTGTCACCAGCACACCATGTCTGGTAGATTCTGCCTCAAGATCTCTGTCATCTGTGTGTTTCTCTTCATCACCATCCTAGTTTGCATCCCCATTGTCAATCACCGGGCAACCGGGCTGCCTGCTTTTGTTCTTGCCGCTTATGGTCCGTGTTCTTTATAAAACATACCCTCACTACTTAAAAACCTTCAATGTTGGTGAGGAAATGGAAAAATCAGAACCCTTATGTCTTATTGGTGGGAATGTAAAATTTGTTCAGTTACTGTGTGAAACAGATTGGCTATTCCTCAAGACGTTAAACACAGAATTAACAGATGACCCGGCAATTCTGCTCCTAGGTATATCCTCAAGTACTTAACAAAATCTAAACATATTATTTAACATGGAAAAGTTGGATTCTGGCTCCTATATGATTCTCATATTGGGCCAACATGAAAATGAAAGCATTCAGAGTTGGGAAGGGGAATGGCAGGCAGGGGGGAAGAAAAGTCTTAAGTGTTTGTCCCCTAGCAAAGTAGGTAAGTTAATAGTCTTGTTGCTTCATCATTCATTATTATTTTCTTTTTGTAGAGACAGAGTCTTGCTTTATTGCCCTCAGTAGAGTGCTATGGCATCACACAGCTCACAGCAACCTCCAACTCCTGGGCTCAGGCAATTCTCTTGTCTCAGCCTCCTGAGTAGCTGGGACTACAGGCATGTGCCCCAAGGCCAAGCTATTTTTTTGTTGCAGTTTGGCCGGGGCCAGGTTTGAACCCACCACCCTTGGTATATGGGGCTGACGCCCTACCCACTGAGCCACAGGCACCACCCTCATTATTTATTATTAATTTTTATGTCCTAAGTAAGAAATTCTTTTTTTTTTTTAAGACAGAATCTCACTATGTGGCCCTCAGTAGAGTGCTGTGGTGTCACAGCTCACAGCAACCTCTAACTCTTGGGTTTAAGTGATTCTCTTGCCTCAGCCTCCCAAGTAGCTGGGACTACAGGTGCCTGCCACAATGCTTGGCTGTTTTTTTGTTGCAGTTGTCATTGTTTAGCTGGCCTGGGCTGGGTTTGAACCTGCCATCCTTGGTGTATGTGGCTAGCACTGTAACCACTGTGCTACGGGTGCTGAGCCAGAAATTTGTATTTACAGGAACTGAAGACAAGTGAATCATGTTTTTTTGCATGAAAACAGGTTGTTTATTAAAGAGATGTCAAAAATTCCTGAATTTTTGCCTTTCTTACATTGGTAATTCAAGGTACTTACTGAAATTCTAAAGGATAGTTGACATTTCAAGAATGCTAACTCTACTTAGTTCTTTAATCTTTAAGGATAGCCTTTGCATAACATTTAATAGAAAAGTTTTACACAATGTTTTTGCTTTCATTGTAGAATATCACCTGGCTTCAATATGCTGGGTTTATTTTGCTGCCAGAAAATCCGTCTGTGGAGAAATAAAAGATAACCGATTATGTCCTTAAATATATTAGCTGACTATAGGTTTAGTCTATGCCAAACAATACACTCCATTCCTCTGATCACAGTGCTTGCAGCAGGGATGGGGACATGGAACAAGTCAGGCCAATGGGAGTCCGAGAGATTAATTCTGGGTAGTGATTGTTTGGGAAGGAAATAGAGAGTGAAGCTCTTTGCAAGGGATGGGAGGGCTTCCATGTAGAGGCAAAACAGCCCATCCAGAAGTAATAGAACCCATAGCTTGATTCTGGGTTCTATTTATTATTGATTCCCATTATTTAGAGCCTAGATGAAGCCATTGCTGATGCTAACACCACTCCTGAATGTTCATTTCCTAAAATTTTTATTGTTGTTTACACCAGCTTTAGTAGGGCTTTCTGTCACTTACAACTGCCCCAGGGTTGGCATTCATCTGGTCAAACCTCTTGACTCAAGGCAGACTTGGGGGTATTAAGCAATATTTCCAAGGCTTCTTCTAGTTCTGGAGTGTAAGAGTTGGAGGCAGAAAGCTAACACTGAGGCAGATGCTGGTTTATCACGCTCTACACTCTAGTAACTGATTTGGCCACAGGTACAAGGAAATTCGGTGGTTAAGTAAAAACAGAAATGTACAACTACTGAGGTTTGAACCAAAATGAAAGTTGATGTTTTCTTGGTTAGGTATATACTCATTAAGCAGATTTACCAAGAATGGACTTGACTAAGGCAGTGATTTTCAACTGGTGTGCCCCTACACCCTGGT